TTTACAACTCAAAGTTTGTAAACAGGAATCACGTGGTCTGAAGCCAGCCCTGCCTCTCTACCTTTCCAGTGTGGGGAGGAAGAGGTGTGGGTGTCTACCATACATCCAGAGGGTGGGGAGGAAGGCCTTTCAAAGGGATACTGTACAAGTGTCCTTGCCTGGATCATATCTGAGATGAGACTCTCACCCGGCTTCTGGGCAAGGACATTTAATGCAGTTTAAGGATAGTCTGTGGGATACCTCCCTTGATTTTGCAGATGTTCATCCCCTCCTCCCATTGAGGGTGGTCCTACCACATACAGGCCTCAGGCTTTGAGTCTATGGCCAGCCCTGTTTGTTTCTTGGAGCTGTTTATGGTCTGAGCTGGTAGAGAAGTGGGTAATGCTTTCGGTTGGAGAGCTGCCATAACCTTCTCATCCACTCCTTTTAGCCCTGGCGGGGGGGGAAATGGAGTTCACCCAGCTGCTGGGAGAAGTAAGGTGGTGCTTTTTTTTTTTTTTTTTAAGAGTTACTTAGCATACCTCTCAGTTGCTTTGTGTTTTATTTTTGCTAAAAGTATGTTTTCCTTCCTATTCCCCTGGCTTGCAGGGACCCGAGTGTATAGTCCTCCAGAGTGGATCCGCTACCATCGTTACCATGGCAGGTCAGCAGCCGTCTGGTCTCTGGGGATCCTGCTGTACGATATGGTCTGTGGAGATATTCCCTTTGAGCACGATGAGGAGATCATCAGGGGCCAAGTTTTCTTCAGGCAGAGGGTCTCTTCAGGTAACTTCTGCGAAGCCCTTTATTATTGAGGAGAAGCAGGAATCACGAGGCTGTTAGTCCTCAGGGATGGTCTTTGAGTTTGGAGAGCTTCAGTCTCCAGGAGATACCATGGCCCTTGCCTTAGAATTCTAGGCAAATGATTCACACTTGAGAGCTGGTCTGCAGGAATCATATGGTTTGCATTTGAGGGTGCCTTGGTAGGGGGGGTCAGAGGAAGAGCATGTGTGAGAATATTAAGGAAAGACCATTTAGTTTCACTGAAAGGTTTTTTTTTTTAAGTACCAAAGGATCCTGATCCCTCAACTCCTGGCTGTTTTGCCAGGGAGTGAAAAATTGAGGGCTCTTTGAGCCTTCTCCCTTAAGGCAGGCTCTCTTAAATACTGTGGTTCCATTGACCTCATCGTGGGTGGTGTTCATATTTGTAAGTCGGTAGGTGAATTGAATCACCTCATCGTGCTTAGTGATGTCTCATCAGAATCTCTTGTCATCATCTTTCCTATTTCTGTTGAGTGGGCGTCGTGGGAAAGGCCCTAGCTATTGAAGTTTGAAAACTACAGGTTTAAGAGAGGAGCTGTTTTTTAGCTGAAAGCATACTGGAGCATCTAGGTGTTAGTTAATACCTTCTCATTGAAGAATAAGCATTCTAGAAAGGGCAGGCTCTCTGTTGGATCCCTGGCTTGTGGGCCCCTGGGAAGCAAAGTGGGAAGACCTTTGAACTGCAAAAACAAGTTGAGTCATTCATAACCTCTGTCTTGCTTTCTCTAGAGTGTCAACATCTCATTAGATGGTGCTTGGCCCTGAGACCATCAGATCGGCCATCCTTCGAAGAAATCCAGAACCATCCATGGATGCAAGATGTCCTCCTGCCCCAGGAAACTGCTGAGATCCATCTCCACAGCCTGTTGCCAGGGCCCAGCAAATAGCTTCTCGGGCAGGTTCTCCCCTCTCTGTCAGATGCTCAAGGGAGGGGAAGTGTCTGTTTCCAGCTTCCCAAGTACCAGTGACACTTCTCTCCAAGCAGGACAGTGCTTGATACAGGAACAACATTTACAACTCATTCCAGACCCCAGGCCCTGGAGGCTGCCTCCCAAAGGGAGGAAGAGACTCCACTCCAGCCGTCCTAGGCCTCAACTCCTCCCATAGAAGCTCTCCTTCTCATCAGTGTCCAGCATTGCTGGACTTTGCAAAATCCCAGGGGTGGTGGGTGGGGTGGGAGTGGATCAGAATCCAGCCATGGAACTGTTCCCTTCATCAAGAGTTCTGCTGAATGCCGTGATGGGTCGGGTAGGGGGAAATCGGGTTGGGGTGGGATAGGACTAGCACCATTTTAAGTCCCTGTCACCTCTTCCGACTCTTCTGAGTGCCTTCTGTGGGGACTCCGGCTGTGCTGGGAGAAATACTTGAACTTGCCTCTTTTACCTGCTGCTTCTCCAAAAATCTGCCTGGGTTTGGTTCCCTCTCTTTCTCCCCCACCCCTTCCCCCCATCCTAAATATGAAAGGTGCCATGGAAGAGGCTACAGGGCCAAATGCTGAGCCACCTGCCCTTTTCCCACCTCCTTTAGTAAAACCCCCAAGTGAACTGGTCTTCCTTTTTGGTTTTTACTTAACTGTTTCTAAGCCAAGACCTCACACACACACACACACACACACACACACACACACACACACACACACACACACAAATGCACAAACAATGCAAATCAACAGAAAAACTGTAAATGTGTGTACAGTTGGCATGGTAGTGTACAAAAGGGTTGTAGTTGATCTAATTCTTTTTTAATTTTGCCTTTAAATTATTTTACCTGTTTTTTTTTGTTTTGTTTTGGGTTTTTTGTTTTTTGTTTTCTTGGAAAGATGCGCATTCTAACCTGGAGGTCAATGTTATTTATTTATTTATTTATTTGGTTCCCTTCCTGCTCCAAGCTTCCACAGCTGCCGCCATAGTTTTCTTTTCTCCTTTCCTCCTCTGACTTGGGGACCTTTTGGG